TCCCAAGGACAGAGTGGGAAAGGACCAATGACACAGAGAGTTCCAGAAGTATAAGAAAAGAGTGTCCACGGGGTCTGATAATGGGGAAGGCATTGTTCCCTTGGTCTGCACAATCTTGCAGGGCTGTAGGGCAGAGGCAGCTTGCGGGAGGGTAGGCAGGGCGATCAGGGGGCAGAAGCAGAGAATGTCTCCTGCCTCTTCAGGAAGCATGGCTCAGGGTGGAGACAGAGAGGCTGTTGGGGGACCAGAAGGTTGAAGCAGAGTTTCTGTTTTTAAGTGATAGTTTAGCACACTTTATCTTGAGGTATATAAGCATTAAGGGAAGGGAAAAAACAAAGGAGCAGCAGTAGCCAACATTCAGAGGGAAAGAAGCAGGGACTTCCTGCCTGGAGGAAGGAGGGACCAGGATTCCAGGAGGACCCTCTCATTCCAATGGCAAAGAGGAAATGATGCAGGGGATTCCTCTGAACTTATCCCAGATGAGGACACTGATGAAGAGGCTAGTCATCAAGCCCAGCCACCAAGTCTTGGCCCAGGTCTACTCTCAGACCCATCAGTGGAAAGAATACATTGTAACCATCAAGACAGGTGCACTGCTGACTGCTCAGTACTGCAGATACAATTAGATAACTGTTACCTTCTTCAGGCGACTTCACAGAAGCTCCATCCTCTCCCTAAGTGGGGTATTATTTTACTTGATCTAATAATAAACACTAATGGAATAAAGAAGGGCTGCCTAATATATTCAGGTGATTAAATCTCTCCTGCAAAATCATGTTAAACAGCGAGGTGAGGACCTGGGGTCAGGCGTGAGTGTGGTCTTCCATCTGATCATTCTGCCAAAGCCAAGGGGAAAAAAAGGTTCTGAAGCAGGAATGTGTATGCGCCACAATTATTATGTTTTCAAGAAATATCTCCTTGCACGCCCTGAAGGCAATTTTAACCACAGATATCTGCACCATAAAACCAAGGCCAGCCCCTCCCACTGTAACAGAATTTAGAGAAGGCTTTTAATAAGGCAAATGCTGTCATTATTAGTCACTAGTATTCACATACACCTGACAGTAGAAACTTTGTTTTCAAATGTCATGCATTCTAGTCTAACACAGTGCTGCCTCCCAGCTACAGGCTGCATATCAACCGCTTTTCAAACATCTCATCCTAAGACCTGACAGGCCACCTGGGCATCTATGAATGACGGGTACCGGGAACGTTCCGTGGGGAGGGGGGTTATTTCCCTTGCTCTTTCATGCATTAAATCCACACCTGACCCTGAAAAATGACAGAGCACAGCTGATACTGAAATTAAAGAAAATATCCAATAAATAGCCAATAGTGAGAACGATAAAAGACAAAAGCAAATGCCCAAACACAGAAGTGGGGAGCAAAGAGATAAAGGGGTTGAGGAGAAAGCCCGATGACTGCTCCCCATGGTTGTGCCCTGTGTGTGTAGTTCAGACTCCAGTAACCAAACTGAGGTGAGGGAGCCAGGGGACAGCAAGGGAAAGCCATGTGCCCTGCCCTGACGGGATTCTGCTGAGTGTTTGAGTTACACTCCCAGCTAGACAAAACTCCTGTTTATCTGCAAAATGTTGCAATTTAGATGTCGCTCCCATTTCAGGTATTTTAGAATGGGAGCAGCTGCGGACAAGGAACCACTGACTGACTGACTACAAGAAGAGACGTAAGGCTAAATGGCTCGGGTCGACCAGAAAGCTGAACCAAAGGGCGCTGAATTTGCCCACTTTAGTCTATGATTGGACAGTTTTCTCATCACAGATGAATTTTCTCTGACATACAGCATGGGCTATTCTGACATTTCCCAACCCCCACCGGCATTTTACTCCAGATCTTGTTGGACCCTGAATATGAACACAGGTGTTCTCTGCCTCTATATTCTACCCAGCAATTTCTCATCGAGTGAACTCAAGTGAGAAGGCCACAGTCAGCACCCCCTTCAATGTGAGCTCTGCTCCGTCCAGAGACCTCACACCGACCAGCAACCTGCTGCCCATTCCTTTACAAAGGTGGGAGGTACCGAATTTCACCTAGCAGGGGGAGATAAAGCCCAAGTGTGAGACGTGGTAAATTACAAACAACACGGAAGCTAATTCCCCTCACAGATCTACCTTATTCCCTGCTGATTTTTTAATGAATTTGAAAATAAGCTTATTTTTCTTGACTGATTTTTTTAAAGATTCTAAGTAATTATTGTATGAGACACCTGGAAAACACTTTACATATTTTTTTAAATGTTTATTTATTTATTTTTATTTTTTAGAGAGATCGAAACATCAATGATGAGAGTCATTGATCAGCTGCCTCCTGCATGCCCCCTACCGGGGATCAAGCCCTGAAACCTGGGCATGTGCCCTAACCAGGAATCAAACCAGTGACCTCTTGGTTCATGGGTCAACGCTCAACCACTGAGCCATGCCGGCCAGGCAACACTTTCACATTCTACCACATTTCACATATACCAAAATCCCTAATTCTGAATATTCTTAATATCCACCCTCTGCCTGGCCCCATTATCAACAGCAGACATCATGGGTTGCTTGCTAAAGCTTTGGGCCTACCCTGCCCAATAAGGTAGCCACTGACCCAATGTGCCTACTGACCACCTGAAGTGTCGCTACTTGGAGCTGAGATGTGCTATGAGTGTAAAATGCACAGACGTCTAAGACTAGCCATCAAAAATGATGTAAAGTGCCCTGACCAGTGTGGCTCTGTGGTTAGAACGTTGGCCCGAGCTCCAAAGGGTGGAAGGTTCGGTTCCCAGGCAAGGGTACATAGCTGGGTTGTGGGTTTGTCCCTGCCCTCGGTGGGGGCGAGTGTGGGAGGCAACCAGTCTTTAAGGGAGGCAAGCTGTCTATGTGTTTCTCTCACATGATGTTTCTCCCTCCCTCTCTCCCTTCCACTCTCCCTGAAAAGCAAAGGAAAAAATGTCCTCGGGTGACGATTAGCAACAATGAAAACTATGTAAAATACCTCAATGGCTTTTTATACCGATTATGTGTTGAATGACAGCCTTTTGGATAACAGGATAGAAAAAAAAATGTACCATTCAAGTTTCACCTGTGTGCTTTTGCTTTTTTTAATGTTGCCAGTAGAAAATTTAACCTGGCGTTGGTTGTATTAATGCTGCTCTTGATCTCAAACTTCCTTGTCTTTTTGTTGTTGTTGTTAATCCTCCCCTGAGGATATTTTTTCCATGGATTTTTAAAGAGAGTGGAAGGGCCTGGCCAGGCGTGGCTCAGCTGTTGAGCGTTGACCTAGGATCCAGGCGATCGGGGTTCGATTCCCGGTCTGGGCACATGCCCGGGTTGCCGGCTCGATCAATGACTCTCTCATCATTGATGTTTCTATCTCTCTCTCTCCCTCTCCTTTCCTCTCTCTGAAATCAATAAAGATATACTAAAAAAATAAAAATAAAAAAAAAATAAAGAGAATGGAAGGGAAAGAGGAAGGGGGGGAGAGGGAGGGAAAGAAGGAGAGAGAGAGAGAGAGAGAGAGAGAGAGAGAGAGAGAGAGAGAGAGAGAGAAACATCGATTGGTTGCCTCCTGCATCCACCCCAGCCGAGGCCGGGGATGGAACCTGCAACCCAGGNGAGAGAGAGAGAGAAACATCGATTGGTTGCCTCCTGCATCCACCCAGACTGGGGCCCAGGATGGAACCTGCAACCCAGGTACGTGCCCTTGACCAGGAATCAAATCTACGATCCTTCCATGCTCGGGCTGACGCTCTAACCACTGAACCCACCAGCCAGGGTGAAACAGCCTTGTCTTTTAAAGAGAAGGGCCCACCCCTGTGCTAATTTCAGTTATTTTCAAACTAGATAATCTTCCTTACCCAGCAGCTGAGACACTGTTAAATACTTGTCATCTTTTTAATTCTTTCAAAATCTTGTTCTGGTTCCTAAAGGATCTCAGTCCTCCTTCTCTCTTTCCCTAAATGGCATGAAAACCAAAATGATTACCTGCATCAAAGCCCATTGTGACCTTATGTCAACAAAAACTGAATCCCAGATTGCCTTTTCTGTTTGAAGGGACAACAGCATCAAACACCAAGAAAGCGTCTTGGTGTCCCCATAAAAGTTTCTGCAAAAATCTCTATTTACTTCCTCATTCCCCTTTGATTAAACGGGCTCCTCCTGTAAGAATTCCCCCTGAAACTGCATTCAGTTTCACTTCCTTGAAAATCAAGTATGGGGGCTACAAAGTAACAAAGAGAACTTCCTGGGGAAATGCATTCAAAATCCCCAAAAGCAGACCTACTACAGGAGAACTCATTATAAACTGATGATACATTGTTTGGCCAACAACGGATACACTTAAAGTGAGGTGCTTAAGAATCAGAGCAGGCATAATTGGGTAGATTAAATGAGATAAACGAGCGCGTTTTGAAACGGAGGGTTTTATACAAGACATTTTGAAAAAAGAGAGCGAATAAACAATGGTGAATTTCTGAGAAATCTGTGCAAGGCCTGAGCCAGGGAAGGAAAGCAGAAAAAGGGGCAGAAATGGGTGGTGGTGGTGGGGCGGGGGGAGCTAAGTCTTATATTCCCAAATGCCACTAATTCTTGGTTTTCAGAGGATTGGGTCACAGTGCCAGGTGCTATGCCATTAAACTTGCCTGAACTAGCAAAGAGGAGACCCTGGCTGATACCTATCTGCAGGTACGTGACATAAGTCACATTTTATCGCTTCAGGGACCAGCTACGGAATCTAGAGTCTAGAGTAAGCATCCAGCTCATTTAGAAGTTTAACAAATTTAATTTTAATGAGACATCTCGGTGTGCATTAAAAATTCATGAGACGCCCACAACAGGTTCTCTGGGCCTTTCATTAGAGGCTAAGGAATTTGACAATGTAACTGCTTGACCATCTGAGCAGGAAAATTCATGTCTACAAACTAAAGTCATGAACCCCAGAAGCTTTGTGAAACTGAGTCGTGTAGGAATTAGTGGCTGCCTACCCTGTTCTCTCCAGCAACTGACCTTTATGGGGGCTCTTTTTTCCCCCTAGGGAATTTGTCCGTTTATCTCTCTGGGTCCATAGATAAAGAGGCTCAATCCCCAAGCATGGTAGGCATGTGCAGGAGACAACCAATCTATGTGTCTCTGTCACATTGATGTTCTTCCACCTCTTCCACTCTCTCTAAAAAGCAATGGAAAAAATACCCTCTGGTGAGGATAAGAAAGAGGAAGGAAGGAAGGAAGGAAGGAAGGAAGGAAGGAAGGAAGGAAGGAAGGAAGGAA